ATTGTGTGTACGTACTAGTTGTATTACAAATTTTGCCTTTAAAAATCAGTAAATTGTCCATAAGCCGAACATTGAAACAATTGGTGCATACACTTCATGACAAATTAATCTTCTCGACTGTCTTTGCACAAAAGAACAAAGTATGAATTAAACAAAAGGCTGTACGCATACCAGAAGGCAGGTTGTTTTGCAACAAATCCAGCGACCGGTCCGCCCCTCGCGTTCAATGACCTACTGAACCCGAAGGGAAATGCGTCCCTAGAATTTATGTCACTTTATCTTCGCGCGAAAAACGGAATTTTCATCCCGATTTGATTACGTTACACATATTTATTTTAAATAATTTTAACATTTATTAGTCTGTGAACTTACTGGAATGCTGTTGATCAAAGAAATGAGTTAGGGACTTATCTAAAGCAAATTTTCGTGTATAAACTTACTACTTAAAAAGTTAATAATAATTAACCATGGTGCTTTATATAAGTTATATATCTTGGCTTTTGATTGTATTTATTTTATTTTATACAGTAAGTAGAAGGACCGTCACAGTAAGAGCATTATTTAAATTTAAAAATTTACTATACTAAAATTTTATTAAATAACAAATAAGTTATACAGCTAGTAATAAACATTGTATGTGTGTAATTTTCTACGGTATGTACTAAGATAAAGAACAACACGACTTTCTTACGTAAGGTGGAAATTATATTTTCTCTTCGTGTAATGTAACCGGTCTTATAATTCCAAGACTAGTACATTTTATTAACTGAACTAACGTACTCAGAGTCGTTTATTAAATTTTCATTCCATAAACATTCAAAATATCACTGTATATTATGAAACGAGCAGGAGGCTCACTATAGTTTATATTATAGAACATTAACTGGACCCTAAGTCGAATTGGTTCGGAAATACTTTAGTAGGCAGTTGGTTCCACATAGTGGTAAAAGCCTTAAAAAACGCTCAGTTGTGTACGGGACTTGCAAACCCTCGGGCAATGTGAGCGTCTATGGGTGGCGGTATCACTTAACATCGTATCAGTAGTAACTGTTCAGATATTATAATAGTTATGTAGAAATAAATAAACATCAGGATTATGGCTGTCATATATAAAAAAAACATTGGGGTTTTTGTAAGTTAAATAAAATGTCCAGTTCTTAAACCATTTATGTAAAACTAAGAAACGTCTGTATTCGATTAGGTAAGTGCTAAATTTATTTAAACGTTTTATTCACGAATAGTTAAGTCATGGCTACGAATCGTTTTAATAGATGAGCCTTTCGTTTCAAATATAGAAACCCATCATTTTTGGCATCTATAACAAGAAAGTACTCAGTTGAAATCTTTCGTGCTTGCCCTAGTTTCGCAACCTTGAATACGTACTAACGATTCTATTATTAGAACGAGTTTTCCGAGCAAAGCGACCGGTGTGAATACTGGATGCAATGTACATGAAAAATAATAGATACAATTTGTATTTAAATTTTTGTTGTCTTCTAGAGTAAAAAAAATAAACCACCTACAGTTCAAGGGCTTCCTTAAGTTACAGACTTTGCCAGAGTGAAAGGCGTAGAAAGAAGGGTTTAGGTGGGCCGTGCGTCGACCAGTATGTTCTGAAAAAAAAATGCAGCCTTTATTTTGGACAAGTTTTATATACACACAATTAAAAATAAACTCAAGTTCGTTTGCCGATCCTGATAATGGACCAAACCCCTGCTATTCCGGCCTTACTCGCCCCAATCTTGGTCAATCCTTGCCTGCAACCAGTCTAATTTCATGTTCCCATCTTTTGTACTTTTTTTTAATTTTTGGGTACCTCATTAAAGTTTTACAGTTTACTCCATTTCTCAATTCCACGAAAGGTGTGTCCTGTTCATCTCCACTTGTTCATTATGACATGGGCATTAGCCCATCACTGAATATCGGGTTGCCTATTCGCAATTCTATGTTGGAATATCACTCTTCAAACTGTCAAGGTGTCGGCAATTCACACGTTATTGCTGGCGTTTTCCAAAGTTTAATGATTAACATCAAGTACAATGGAAGACTGTAGTGACAATTATAATGTGCATATAGCTGTGACTGACTGGAGCAATTTTATTTTTAGAGAAATATTTTGTATAAGTTTCATCTCTTTAATTCTGCCACATGATCACTCTATCGTAGGAATGGCCTAAGCACTAGCCAGCCAGCTTATTAAATGTTGTACCAAACGCTTCGGCTGAATATCTTTCAGGCCGCTAGTTAAACCGCGCTGTTTAGTTAAAAGGCTTGGCTGTTAACTGAGCGGCTTATTAAGCTAGTAGCTTGGACACCTATATATAAAGACTGTTTTAAGACCTATTTAAGATAACGTGTATATCTTATTTAAATAGCTTAAGTTATCTCTAGATATAAGATTCAGGAACCTATGTGTCAAAAATGTATTGGATATTTACATACCGGATTCGGAGTTTATAAATCCCGTATGACGAATCCAATATTTTGAACACACTTAGGGCAAAGTCTGCACTCTAAATCTAAGGGTTAGATTCTGAATAGGCGTTGGCTTAAGACGGCTTCTTGGATCGCCGAAGTACATTATTGAACGAGCAATTACTATCTAGTTGTTCAGGGTTAGAACAATTTACTGCTCTATTTAACGTTAAATTAGCCTGACCAAAATAACATAAATGCAAAATGGATCGATGTTAATTTAACAAATTTCAAAGAACATCATCATTTTGAATGCCATTTAGGATGTGAGAAACTATAATTTCAAAGTAACATTTTTTAGACAACTATGAATTTAGTACCAATTATCAGTTGGAACAGCGCAGGGACTTTTGCTTATATGTTTCGTATGCCGTTTTGTTTCCTTGGAAAAATGAAATTGAATGGCAAATCAATGGATCTCTAGCTAACCATGACTGAGCACTCGAAGTCAAGCAATGTAAATAATGAACAAAAATCGCAATTATACCTAAAGAAGTTCTATTTATATAACTATTACAAAATACGTAAAAAAGGAGGGCTACTAATTTCTTGCGAAGTGTGCCATTTAAATACCCTGGTTTTAAATACTTCGTCAGGAGATATATATATATTTCGTCGTGTATTACTTTTTATTACGATGCACTGGATATGTGATGTTGAAGAAAGATGCTTCGCACGCCATGGACCGCTGGGAGAACTAACCAATCAATCTTGGATCAACTCTATAGAAGAGTTCTTACTTACTTAGGTCAGATTGGCCGTTTCGAAACAGATAACCTGGACAAGCTGGCTGTCGTCGGCAAGTTAAAAGGCCGTGGGCCAAATCGCCAACCTGCTGGTACGACCAAGTCACAATTCTCACGGGTAATAACAGCTGTGCTAAGAGAAGCTATTTACCGACAAAGTGGCGAGGCACTAGCAGTGCAGCAGGCACCTTACAGTGACGCGATCTTCAGCAAGGAATAATACGACTGAGAAGAACTACACGCTGAGAGCAGAGTCCGAAATGCTCTCAAAACTACTTAATATAATATGTTTTATTTGTATGACCTGGCTTTTTATTACTAAGATAAATGGAGATGATGAAGAACGGTTCACTGACGGAGGAGCTATGCTTGAAAATGCCAAGAAATTACGCTTTTTAATTTTAGGTTTTTCTGTTAAACTTTTTGTACTATTATATTAAGGATTATTTTTTCCAATAAAGTATTTTTATAGACTTTTTGAAAGTGATAACACAAACTACGATTCATCTGTTCTTAAAACAATGTAACAATACGTATTCTAGTCCTACATGTATAAATTTTACTTGTCTTAAATAGGGCACGGTTAGTTCACATTGGACGGGAAACGACTAATTCATCTTGCTATGCTTTTGTATAATGTTCTACAACGGTTCTTTTAACAAGCAAATGTATATATACTCGTAGCATTCAAAAAATTGTTTTATCCTCGAGTACAACTAAACTAATGGATATAAACGAATTTCTTACATTATTTAAATAACTGTTTCGGGTTCCTAAATGACAGAGTCTGCCATGTTGTTAAACTAGCGAAAATGACGTATTTCTGCTGGATTGTGGCCAGGTGTTTAGTTTTTTTTTATTCTATAGGTAAAAGAATGTTAGTATTGACTTTTTGGTAGTTTTGTCTAGCGCAGTGTTTCCTAACGTGGGGCAAATTCTGAGATTTTGTTATTTGGTTATTACATCAACAGTAATTATTTTCTTTTTAACACATTGTCTCAAAAATGCTTCTAATTTTACGTTTACTGCTAGTTCTCAAATCAAGTAGAACGGAAGAGAAGAACTGGCAATAAACTCTCCGCCACTCGCCATAGCCCAGTTTTTAGTTTTACACTACGTTTGTAAGGAGCTGCAATCATTACACGTAGCGTTAAGCATATGTCATAAACGTGTTTTACGCTAGCATTGCAATATCGCCTTTATTATACCAGTGGTACCCTGTGTATGCGCTTTTCCAGCTAAACACCTCAGTACTTTAGCTTCTTGTGAGTTGGCAAGGTGCAACGATCCAGAATACGATCTTACGTTTGTAGTTTCCACTTGACGTTTGCAATCAGCCAAGGCTTGGAACTGAACCAACGGCAAAACGCTCGTCATGATCTGTTATTGTTATGCCAATTTTAGGATGAAGTAGAACTTATTTATGTATTAACGGATAATTATATATAGGTATGTTGAATTATGGCAGGAATTTTTTACTTATTTATTTATTAAAACGTCGTTATATTACAAATAAAACAAGTAACATAAATTATTAGGGAGGCAACGGGCGGATCGCTGACAACTCTAGTAAGGTAAAACAAATACTAAGGATAAAGTGCATGAAGTGCATAACCAAACCAACAAAAACAAAATTACAAGTAACACTGAAAAATGCGAATCGTACGGTTCGTGAAATCAGTACATTTTAATTTAAAAAATATTTAAGTAGGGGCGAATAGTTACACGCGACGATTGGATACACTGCCAGAAGAATGTGGACCTATTAAAAATCGTAAAATGTTCCTAGAAACAAAAGTAATTCAATTTAAGGGGGCGTTTAACAAACAAACTCTTAAGAATTGCAATAATAAACTACTCAATAAAATAGACGGAGAAATTTCTAAAGGTTTGCTGTTAACAACTTGAATTGCCGGGTATCTTTTGCTAGTCTAAAAAGTTCCTCTGCGGATATGATACCGGTCCACTCCCGTACGTTCCGCAGCCACGACTTCCTCTAACAGCCCATCACTTGCACTTGCACATCAATTTTGTCCATCATTATTAGCTGCAACAAGTCGTAATGATAATGCAAAACGTGTACAAGATATGCGACTTTCCGTTTTAACAGTCTGCATAAACAGCGGATTATGGAACTACATAATAGTACATTAATGGCGTGATATTTATGTTATAACCACGAAGAACGAAGCGAATTCAGTATTCCGATATCACGTATACAATTCGATTTTATAAGGTCATCAGGGTAAACTGCATACATTTGTAAAATACCTTACTACATTCTCGACAGTACTTTGACAAGGTCGCATGATAGGGCTTCCAGCAAACTGTGTCATGTGTGACATTACCTACACTTGAACTAATTATTTTGGAATATATTTATAATTCACGCTAAATGAATTTACAAACGTATCCACGTTTATTTGTTCTCTAATTACGTGTAGGTAGATAAGTACATAGTTTATTACGATCTTTGATACATATTTGAAGTGAAACTTCTTTATCGAGGTTGGAAAAAAAAATTAGTGTAACATTTTTTCGTTACGCGTCACATTTTTCGGTTACGCGCCATGTTGCTTTTTGAAGTCAAACTTCTTTATCGGCGTTGGAATGAAACTTCTTTATCGACGTATGGGAGAAATTTTGTAGCAAATCGTCACGTTTTTCAATGATAGTAATAATTATATTACAATTAATGAAATTCTATAATAATCTTCGTAGTAATAAGGTAAAATGAAATATTTGTATTCATGTCTATGATAATAAAAGCCTTTTGTTAAGCTTTATCTAATTTAACGAATTTCTGTAAAGTTGCATATAGTAGATCATTTTTCGAAAAATAAGATCATAAAGAAGTTTCACTTCTTACGTGTGTACACCTAGTACACGCACAATTTTTTTTATTTATTTAATAATATCATATTACAATATTGCACTGACTCGTACATATATCGAAAGCGAACTATTACTTTTGAAGCAAAGTTTAAACTAAAAATTAAATTAAAAATATTGGTATACATATGCCTTGTTGAATTTTTAGTTTTAAAAATTTTATAAAGCCATGAATTTAAACAATTTTCAATAATATATAAAAAGCAGTACCTATAAAGTTTTAAAAACGCGGGTTCTTCGGGTTTATTTGCAACGGCCCGACACCTACAGCCATCTATTGACGTTTCGCATCAAACGCTGGAATTCAATTTGTACCAAAGACATTATTGGTTCAACATTGCGACGTAAGATGGCGTCGATATTATATAGAAATTGTATGATTAAATTTGGCTATTTGAATTGAATTTTAATAGTTAAAAAATATGTATTAAATATGTTTTTTTTGTTTCAGGTTTTAGTGGAATACGATGGTGTCGACTGGCAAAGAAGAGAGTGGGTAGCGGTTTATTCATTGAGGACGTTTCGTGTGTTTTTAGTTGAAAGAACTTTAGTGTGGGCACCAAGGAAAGTGAATAGTAAAGAAGTGAAATGGCCAGCACTGGTTAGTTATCATTTCATATATAATTTAGAATAATTTCATTTATACATCAAAGGATTAAACATTTTGAAAAGCAATGTTGCTGGTAACCCACGTTTCCTGTTAATACCGAGAGATGACGCCGGCGGCCGGATGTACTAAAGAAATAATATATAAAATAGAATATTGGATTTATGCCTAATCTTCTCTATCTATTCTTTATAAATCTTAATAGTTAGTGCCAATCAATAATTAATTACACTTTATAAATTCTGGCAAAATTGTTTTGCAAAAATTCTTCAGAAGGTCAATATTCCAACTCCAGTATTCTATGGAATTGTTAACAAATTAAGTAATATATTTGATAACGACCTGCATCGGTGTGTATATAGAACATTCCCGATCACGTGTGTAGGTGAGATACTCGCGTGACCCCATTTCTCTCATTGTATTTGTGCATGCATCAACTTTATACTCACCTAGTTCACAAAGTTTGCTTTACCATATATTTATAACAGACTATATTCTGGAAGCACTCTCACAAACTCATCTGGAAGAAGCCTGGACATACTTATTTTGTAACGATTTTCTTTCAAAGTCTTAAGGGTGATTATATGATGCAATCTATAAATTGTATTTACACTTGAAAGAAATTGGGTTTCTCTTAAAGTGGGTCATTTGCTTCTCATAGTACAATGATAATTAAACTGCATAATAAACACAGATGCATTTGAATCTGATGTTTATAAGTCATTTGTATAATTTAAAAAACAGTATATGTAGACTTGATTATAAAAGTGAATCAAAGAGTGTTTCATATATTAACACTTATTACCTGAATGTTGAATTGGATTGTATTGAGCCTAACCAGACATAAAATAAGTCTAATTATTTAAGTCCCTTTCCCAAAATTGCATGAGAGGAAGATATATATCCGTGTTACATTTTTTAAATACAATCATTTACAACGATTTGAGAAGTGACTTGAGTAACGTGCAACTCTCATCGAATTAGAAATCTGAGGCCCAGAATTAGGTCTTAAAATCGCTTCTGTTATCAATAATATTAAATAAGAAACTTCTAGGAATTTTAGCACTTCTATTCTTATACTCTGATGAACTTTTATACTTATGATATGCGTTATGTTTTTAAAATAATTATTTTTAATTCCAGACATTTGCTGCATTGACAGCTGAAGTGATATTACAAGCTGAGTCGCAGCCTGTTGAATTCCTTCATGATAAGCAACTACAGTTTTACGACTATGCCAATCTACAGCCCTATCAGGTAAAAACTACTTGGAGTAAATTATCCTTAATGTATAATTAATTTATTCTAAGGAATGGTACAATTGAAATGTTAAATATATTTTAATATTTACATAATGCCTTAAGTACCATTAACTATTGAACAACTTTAGGTACGGTTGAATGAAAATAATAATATAAAAAAATATTCCTACACAATACAAGGGACTGTAGCGTTGTCGCTACTCCCCACTAGATGGCGTTAGGTGTTTCATTAGAAAGATGGAAATTTCCTTTTTGCACTCAAATTGAGAGTTTATTATCTCTAACCTATTATTATGTAGTTAAGTCAAATATTAACTTCACATTTATGTAATGAATCATGTTTGCTGTATATAATATGTTTCTAATGTACTGAGTCACGATTTGTTTTTGTTTCAATCTTTGTCTTTTTAGTCATGTTGGCATTATTAACATATTAGGTTGTCAGATCAAAGTACTGTTTATAAATGTTAGATATACAGTTAATCTTACGTATGCATTATTTAATACCCTGACATGTAGTTTAACAAACATAAATATAATTTATTTAAAATGTTTCTGTTTTATAAATGATATTTTTGATATTTTATTTAACCACGAAAATTTCTGCCATTGCACAGACATGCATAGTCAAAAATTTATGTGTCTAAAACATGCTCCTATGGCGAAGGAAAACATCGGCATGTGTATCCAAATCAAGAACAAGAAAAAGTATTAAAGATCATGCCCCGTCTGGGGAATACCCAGTAGACGGTAGGTTTTAAAGTTTAATTCTGCACAAAATTTGCATTCAATTAATCCGCAATAGTAAATAATGTTTAACGAGTATGTCTAAAAATAGAACATCAACATTAAACACGTTATTTGCCTAGAATTCTTTTATCGCCGAGATATTTCTTGCGTCATGGTCACGGACGTAAATACCGTAGCACTTGATAAATTATCTTGTATACGTAATACAAATGAATTCTTTAAATGTTTTTTAAAAGGTAATGTTATTTATTTCCACACACCGGAAATTAATATAAAGAAAATTAAAACAAATTTTAAAAGTTTGGTCCCTGTGGCGGTGTACCTTTAACGCTGGCAGCGTTTCCTCGCTGTATTGCGATACTTATTCGTTGAGAGAGGAAAGCACCAGCTCTAGGTTCACCGGTACTATCTACCAGGCGCCAACTTAAATCTTTAATTAGTGCCAGTGCACCCCACGGCCCAAGAGTCTCTACTTCAGTGAGAACAAAATGGGAGGAAAGTTTTCTTGTATTTGAGACGTTTATTATTTCCCGTCTGCTCTGCGGCCGCGCCAGCTTTTTTGCCTGTCCGAGGGAGGTAAGACGGGGCTACCAGTATATTTTATATGTGTTTTAACACTGTTTATGTGCGTTAAGCAATCATTACAGTAGGGTGATTCTCTTAATTTAATGAATTACCCATTTTCGGCCGTCAAAGCGGCGCTATCGCTAGTTGATCTTCTGTTGTTTCATTATTACCAAACAGGTTTAAGTGAATCTATTTGTGTAGAATTTTAAGAGAATACCAAAGTCCTTGGTTGACCTTTCATGCAAAACTTTGCTGCATAGTGCTTCACTAATGATTGAATCGCTCAACTCGCTAAAGTTTAGAAAATATATACATACTTTAAATTACGAGGTCTAATTGCATTTAAATACCAGAACTATTTACCTATACTTATCCAGAACTAAACGCAAAACCGACCTAATTCTCTATACGAGTGTTTATCTAAAGTTGCCCGGGCTAGTATCAAGGACGGTGTCTGCCAAACAAGGGTGGGTTTCCCCGGGAGACGGGGAGAGCCGGGTGGAGGGGGTATGTTTTGATGCTCGCCCGGTTTATTGATTTTCCGCTTCCCCCTACTCCCCTATACATCCAGGTGGCATGTCGCTATTTTCGGTTGTCCCGGCCGCTGTTAACCTGTGATTGATTGGATATTCACGCTACTGAGTTGATCGTAATTGAAATAATGATTAGTCAATGTTTCATTATTAATTTAAGTTTTTCAGTATCGTATACACGAATTCCTTACACATTTTCATATTTAAATAATGTGTATATCGATAAGAAATCTATATTGTAGACTTTTAATATTTATATTATTCATATTAACGCGTTGGTGGTGATTTCTTTTCAATTCCAAAAATTATAGTTACAATAGATTATATTTCAATTTGTGTAGCTATTTTTTCTATGAATATGGTTATAATGTATAAGTATCACAAACTCACCTGATTTTTCAAGAAGTCGTGAGGAAATATAATTCATTTGTTTATTTACTTGGGCACAAGAAAGAATATCAAAGTCAGTAACTAATCGTAATTTGGTACAATTTTGATTTTCCTTTTTTAAATGTTTGAACCTTTTTGTATATATTATGCAATCCATGTTTGGCTATATCTTTAGTATAATTGTTTTTGTTATATATACTTTATGTTAGCTGTAGGATTATGATATAAATAAATAAAAAAAGAGTAGCACAGACCAATTGAATAAGTGAAACAATTATGTGAGGAAATGTGATAATAAACAACAGCTATATGTTTAAACTTTGCGTGTTAAAGTTTTCGAATAAAACTTAAAGTAATAATGCGTAATGAAAAACTCAATTAACGGTAATGAAACTTTTTAGTTCGTAACTAGCCGCAGAGCTTAAACGAGTAGAATTTTGCTTCGGTTGGCGTGATGGAGGCTTTGGGGGTGGGGTGTACTTAGAAAGGCTTGCAGGGCCTCCTAATGTTATCCGGACTTTAAGGCTCGCAAAGTATCACTGTTTTTGGATTAAGGATAATTTTAATTCAGTTTTATAAATCATTTAAATAGTAATTAATCACGAATTAGTATACCTATAATAAAAAAATAGATAGCGATCACAGATAAAGATCTTTACACTGTTATAACAGATACAAGATTTTGATAATTGATTATAAATTCGCTGTTTTTTAGCGATAAGACAACATTGCATCAGAGAATTTAAAGTAACAGTGAAATAATATTGCTCATTACTTTAATTTATCACACATGACACATATGTTATCACACACACATCGATTATATGTAAAAAATACAATAATAGGCATGAAAATGTAAAACACAATTTATAGTAGAGTAGAGAGAGTCTACTTAGACTGAGGTTTAGCGGGTATGAAGTTCAGGGTCTTCAATACCCGCTAAAACAATGTAATTATTTTATTGAAATTTTGTTTATTTTTTGAAGTTTGAATGTTACAATATGGTTACGTAAAACTCCGATCTTTAAAACAAAAGAAACCTTAACACAGAATTATTTGCTTATATTAACCGTTTCACTTTTATGAAAGTTACGTGATAAAAAAATGATTTTATAAATCTTTGAAATGTTAGAAGTGAAAGATTCAATTTAAAAGAATGATGCCAAAAAGAGAAATAAGAGTTTATTAAGCGTATCTTTCACGCTTAATTACTGAAGATTGATGAAAGCCAGTGTTTTGCTATTGAATTTAGCGGTTTGCGTGGGCTTGATTTTGTAACGGTTAATCTACATAATATACATGAAAGCAGAGTAGTCTTGGCCTTGTGGCTTCAGCGTGTGACTCTCATCCCTGAGGTCGTAGGTTCGATCCCCGGCTGTGCACCAATGGCTCGAACGGTGAAGGTAATCGTCGTAAGGAAACTGTTTTGACTTAGGACTCCCACACAAAACTGCGATGCGATGCGAATTCCTGCGATACGATTTAGTGCGACAAACCGTTTGGTAGGGCGACCATTCCTTCGTAGTCAGCCGTACTGGACTTTAGGAAGCGTAAGATGGATCGCAAAAAGATTATTGCACTGCTGTTATTGATAAATAGATATAAAAGAAAAAGAAGATTCTGGGTTCATCCATTTATTACGATTATGAACTCTGATGCAAACTTTCACAGACGCTCTTCCACGCATCTTGCTTAATAAATTTATTTTTATAATGTTCATCACTTGTGTCCCAAAGGTCGGGACGCTCCTCAATTAAAAATATTTAAAAATCCATATCATATTGCGCAATTTTTTTATAAACAAAGAAGGCGGCGGAGGCGCCGCGCATCTTTCTCTAAAGCTGTCTCAGAGCGGACTAAAATGGCGTCACCAAGGATGACGTAATATCGCAAGAATGTGCGATGCGAAGCAGATCGGAACTTCTTGCGGTGCGTTCGTGCGAATTCGCAGATATTTGCGATGCGATGCGAATTCGCAGCTTTGTGTGGGAGCCCTTACACCCAAAAAGTTGACGATGCGTGTCAGGCATGGGAGGCTGATCACCTACTTGCCTTGTAGATTAGACATAAGTATCACACCTTAATTATATGACGAAGCGTTACATAGTTAATGTGTTTTTGATTTATATGTAATACGATAAATATATTAGTTAAAATAATAATTACAAAGAACAACACAGTTTTAAATGTACCAGAAATTAATTTAATTGCAAGTTATTCCTAATAATGGAAATTTAATAAAGTTAAAAGGTAATATTAATAACGCTCATGAAACTGAAATATTTCATTGTGTATGCTCGAAACGAATTAATCAAAGTCTTGGCTGTCTAGTAAAATATGATATGGTTTCCAGTCCATTGTATTTACCGAGAGCATAAAAGACGTACAGCGGACAAAATCTTCATATTTCTTTGGCTAGTTTTATAAATAAGAAAATAAATGTGAAATTCTGCTTGATTGCGTTTAAATAAAGTTTTAGCCAACAGTTTTCTAGATCCGTTTGGTAAACATTTTACAAATTATCGTTTAATATTTTGTGAAACTCACCACGAGTTTTGAATTGATGAAGCTAAAGAAATGCTTTAAAAGTGTTGGCCTTGTGGCTTCAGTGTGCGACTCTCATCCCTGAGGTCTTAGGTTCGATCCCCGGCTGTGCATCAATGGACTTTCTGTCTGTGAGGATTTAACATTCGTTCGAACGATAAAGGAATACATCGTGAGAAAATCGATTTGCCTTAAACTAGTGTTTCCCTAC